CAAATAAAATTACCTATTTATCAAGTTCCATTATACATAAGTTATAATAAATATATATAGATATATTACTTAATATTAACTAACTTTATAAAATAATATGAAATTAGTATTATTGGACACATGACTTTTTCTCAATTACAAATGGCTCTAACTGGTGACCGCTCGAAGAACAATAGGAATGAAGGAAAAAAGGAATGGAAAAAGTTGTATGGAAAAAAATAAAAGGAATTATTGTAGAGAGAGAATGGAACAAATTGTCATTGTAAATGGTAATAAAAAAAGAATAAATATTTGAAATAATAAAAGGAAAGTTTCTACATAAAAATGCAATCATTTTGTTCTTTGTCAAATTAGAATGGGAATACTTTTGTTCTATATTCCCTAATACTATTAGGAATGGAAAAAAATGACATGAAATATTTATTACATATAAATGATAAAAAAAAATAGTAGGAATGAATATGAATGTTATGTTCCTCCTCATTCCTTACATTCCTAATGGTCACCATTTAGAGCAAAATAATTTAGAACAATAGTTAGATACTTGTATGTTGTTAATTATTTTTAATAAATTTAAAATAAAATAATCTATCTATTAAGTTTTATTATGCATAACTTTAAAGTGTTGATGTTGTGTCGAGTTTTACCACTCAACTAAACTTCCTGCAAGTGCACAGTAATCACGGTTAGTATACATAATGGATCGAATCCAAGAAGACTTCTTAACCACACTTCAAATTGTAATGAATAAAACTAAAGTAGAACAAAATATGAATGTCGTTTTTGTGATTGGAAAAGTAAGCAAGTAACGAATGTAAATAACATGTAAAATTAATGAGAGAAAAGTGTTAGGACTAGGGTGTTTCGTAGAGAATCATGCAACAATAAAGATCGATTGATTTTAGGGATTTAAGAATTGTGATATGTCTAGAACACAAAACACGAAGGTAAGATCTTCCCACTGTCGTGGCTCGGACCTCTATATTTTAGCACCCTAATAGACTCAACTGTCGTACGGTTATTACAAGGTGAAAATATGCGTAAAGTTCAAGTTCAGATAAAGTTCACTAAACTCTTTAACTAACCTTTCAAATTGTTAAGACGCTTAACTCATCAAATACTAGTTCAGGAAATATAACAAGCTTTTGGAGAGTATATAAACCTAAGATCAMATCACTAGAWGCGCGGTAAAGKAATSATGCATAGAVTWT